GCCAAGCAGGGAGCCCGATGCGGGGCTCGATCCCAGGACCCTGAGATCGTGACCTGAGCCGAAGGCAGACGCTTAACGACTGAGCCACCCAGGTGCCCCTATTTCATTACATTTCTAATAGAAATAGAAACAAGGAATTGGAGTTTGTAAGAGGACAGATTTGACTTAAAAAAAAGAAAGAAATTGAATGGATATCATCTTTTTTATGCCTAGAAAGCTGACAATTCAGATGTTTTGGCCAGCTTCTCATAAACTGGCAAAAACTGCACTATTCCTTCATTTAACTTATGCTTACAGCCAATTATATTGTGAGAGATCCTGCAGAGTTCAGCTACATTTATTTGTATGTAAATTCATGTGATAAGTTTGTGTGTTTTTTTCTTTCTCATTAAAAAAAACTAACATGTTCATTTCTGAAGTTGGTTATGTTTTATCTGTTTTCAAACAAGCACATGAAAGGGTGGTGTTAATAATATTAAATAACTGGTTTTCTCAGCATTACTGGATCCCTCCCCAACTTAACCATTCACACCTTCTCCTCGCACCCACACTATGTACACAAGTCTAACTTCTCACTCTTGTCCCCATGGTTTTAACACTTTTTTTAAAAAGATTTTTTATTTGTTAAAGAGAGACAAAGAGAGCATGATGAGCGGTGGGGGGGGGGAGGGGCAGAGGAAGAGGGAGAAGCAGACTCCCCGCTGAGCAGGGAGTCTGATGGACACGGGGCTCAATACCAGGACCCTGATATTGATCATGACTTGAACTGAAGTCAGATGCTTAACCGACTGGGCCACCCAGGCACCCCGCCCCTACCATGGTTTTAACATTTATTCAAGTTTTCTTACCCACAGCCATCGACATTATACCTTCTCACCACAAACATAGAGCCAGTTGAAAAAGAGAGCTGCCCTACACCATCTAGTTCAGGTCAGGTGTCAAATACCTCAGAAGATGAAGTTTTAGTTTCATTCTGTAGATTTAGGATCCTGATACCTGGGCAGATTGTGATCACCCTACAATCCTCCTTTAGCTGAGATTACTTTGGATTATGGTGTATACTCTGCCATCCCATCATCCTGGGCTGGTTATATTGTTGTTAAGCTCTAACAAAGGCAACACAATTTATGTTTACTGCTGAACTGATATACTTCCTAGATGGCTAATGTTTAAGCTCTGGGAAAATATTGCTTACCTGACTGAATTTGGACCATCATTTTGCAAATATGCTCAAATTCTTGGATTGGAAAGTAGGTGTATTAGTCAGGGTTCTCCAGTAATGGAACCAATAGGAGAGAGAGAGAGATAATAGGAAGATAGATAGATAGATAGATAGATAGATAGATAGATAGATAGATATAGATATAGAGAGATTTATTATAAGGAATTAGCTCATGTGATTATGGAGGCAAACAAGTCCCAAAATCTGCAAGTGAGTTGGTCAATGAGAGACCCAGGAGAACCGATGGTGTAGTTCCAGTCTGATGCTTGTAGTCTCAGGCCTTAGGAAGATCTGATGTTTCAGTATAATTCTGAAAGCAGGAAAAAACTAATATCTCATTTCAGAGGCAATCAGGCATGAGGAATTGCCATGACTCAGGGAAGTATCAGTCTTTCTGTTGTACTTAGGCCTTCAACTGGTTTAGTGAGGCCCATCCACCTGAGGGAGGACAATCTGCTTGAATTAGTCTACCCGTTTAAATATTAATCCCATCCAAAACGCCATCACAGTAACATGCAACATAATATTTGACCAGATGTTTGGGTCAACTTGGCCCAGTCAAGTTGACCTAAAGTTAACCATCACAGTAGAGTGAGCAGATCCAGTGTCACAGTTGCTCATCAGTATTTATTGCATGTTCTCTGTTTTTCAATTCTTTCTCTCTCCTGCCCAGGAATTATTTACTTAACGTCAACTCTTAGTCATTTGGAATCTACTACCCTTTTGTTGATGGTCTGTGCTCGAGATGGTGGCGGGCTCACATCTGTCGTTAATGCTGACATCACTATACACATTCTTCAGACAACACTGGCACCTGCTGAATTTGAAAGGCCTAAGTATACTTTCTCAGTTTATGAAGATGTACCTGAAGACAGTCCTGTGGGAACAGTGAAAGCAAAAGAGTCCTCGAGTAAGTACTTGCTTCTTATGCCTTGTTAAAATCCACTACTGGAATATTTTCGGTGTTTTCTTAGGCTGTGTCATCTTGAATAAATCTTTTCCTTTCTCCATGCAAGAAGAATGGAGACCACACAATCTGTGGCTTACTCTTTGTTCTTTCAGCATCATTTCTATCCTATGATTTTTCCTAATCAAAAAAGTAATAGATACTTTTAAAAGTTTGAAACAATACAGAAGGATTATAATGTAGAAAGTATACATCTATAACCCACTCCTCCAAACACACACATGTGCACACACACACACTTTAAAATTTTGTGAAAGTCTTTTTTTTTTTAAGATTTTATTTATCTATTTGAGACAGAGAGAGAGAGAATGAGCAGGGGCTGGGGCAGAGGGAGAGGGAGAAGCAGACTCCCCGCCAAGCAGGGAGCCCAATGTGGGGCTCAATCCCAGGACCCTGGAATCATGACCTGAGCTGAAGGCAGACGCTTAACGGACTGAACCACCCAGGCGCCCCACACTTATTTTTTTTTTTTTTTAATGAAAATACATCCTGCTGTATTTGTTGTTTTACAACTACCCTTTACCTCCACTTTATATGTTGAGGACAGTTTTCCAAGTAACTGGACATCATTCTGTCTCATTTAAACAAAGGTTGCATAGTATTTTGACTTAGATATAAACATGTTTTCTTGAAACATTTCCCTTTTGCTATTAATTTGAATGATTTATAGCCATTTTATGCTAGTCCAAATAATACTCAAGCAAATATCCATATATGATTTATAAAGGTTTCTCTGCAGAGTAGATTCCTAGAAGTGAATTATTTGTCCAAAGATCTTGCTCTGCTCACAGTCCACTTCTTCTCTGTCCTCTTTCCCTTCCCTTAACCTTTGTGGGGGTTATTTGCCATTCACAGGTAGATATCATAGAGAAGCATCAATATAACCTTAACTTGGCTTCCCCAAATATGTGAAACAGGCATCCAAGTTATTTTCTGAATATCTTTCCCTTTTACTTAATGCAGAATGATTGAAAGGAAGATAGTGAAACCTGTGGCTTGCTTCTTGTCCATTGGGCATTACCTTTGTCCGCAAATACATCTTAACCATGGTGTTCATTCACTTTTCAGTAGATTCTGGAGAGCTGAGAAAGATGTAATACATTGCATTGTGTTTTCCATGGATGTGGTATATATCCATGGAATATATATGCAGACATATACTTTTAGAGTGTTTGCCTGGATCCCGGAGGACATAAATGTGAGCACTTTGGTAATTGTTCATGTCCTGGATGAGAATGACAATTCCCCTACCTTCTTGCATGATGTGTTGTTTTTGAAAGTCGAGGAGAGCCCTGTTCCACAAGGGGTAATAGGCAAAATTACAGCAATACACATACGTATATTAATGCTTTAAGTTTTCAGCGTTTCCAATAGGTGCTTTCCAGTAGGTGCATCTGGTGATTGCTTTTTCTTTCTTTTTTTTTTTTATCCCCCCCAACTCTTTTTTTAGATTCTTCAGAGCCAGTTTTTTATAGAATCTCCTCTGGTGATCTGGACAGAAAGTTCTCTATTCACCCATGGCTGGGCGTCATTCGAACTCAGAAGCCTCTGGATCATGAAACACAGCCGGTGGTTGTGCTCACAGTGCAGGCTCAGCTTGGCAGCTCTCCGGCCTACAGCATTACAGAGGTCAACATAACTGTAATTGATGTCAATGACAACCGTCCGGTATTTCCCAAAGCCTCTGATGAGGTGAAAATAGCTCAAACCACGTTGCCTGGCACAGCCTTGTACCTCGCCCGTGCACAAGACAAAGACAGTGGGCAGAATGGATTCATCAGATATGCGATTGCAAGCCAGGATCCAAGCATCTTTGCCATCGACTCAGGGCTTGGTGCGGTGTACCTCAATGAGAGTCTGGGAAGTCACGTGCCCCGGAAGTGCACGCTCACTCTCCTGGCCCAGGATCTGGGCGTTCCTCCTCGGGCATCCCTGTTAGTGCTGACAGTTGTGATTGAGGAACAAGAGCAAAACCCATCCTTGACTTTTGAAAACTTGGTCTATCAAGTGGAAGTTAGCGAGTCTCTCTCGCTGATGACCCCAATCCTGCAAATACAGGCTTACCCACTTGGCCCACAGCGCACAACCTCGCAGCTCCTGTACTCGCTGGAGCCCAGCACAGACTCCGCTGTGTTTGGCGTCCGCCCTGACACAGGCTGGATTTATTTGCGGCGACAGCTTGACTATGAGTCCACACAGACATATAATTTTAGAGTGTTTGCCTGGATCCCGGAGGACAGATTGTCGCAAAATGTGAGCACTTCGGTAATTGTTCATGTCCTGGATGAGAATGACAATTCCCCTACCTTCTTGCATGATGTGTTGTTTTTGAAAGTCGAGGAGAGCCCTGTTCCACAAGGGGTAATAGGCAAAATTACAGCAATTGACAGAGACTCGGGAAAGAATGGACAGCTGTCATATTTCCTTTTGTCTGATGGAAAATTCTTCAAGATGAATCCTAATACAGGTAGCATTTTGTAGCTTCCACTTACTCCTTTAAAATCGAAATGCACAAAACTCAAGTCTCTTAGTGATAACATTACAAACATGTAGTTAAAATTAGTTTCTAGGAGATACCTTATTCAATTAGAGAATTGTGATTTTAAAATGAAGTCAAAATTGAGTAGAATTTTACCTGTAATGCTTCATACTCCTCTTGCCTCATATCCACATATTGCCAGTGTATGGTTCTTATACTGAATTAGAGCTACAGTCAGAATTGGACTGAATAAATCCCTGTGCAAAGTCTAATTTTCCCCCCAACTGTTCTTTTTCACTTGTAGATTTTTTTAAAAAGCCAAATAATATTTTATAAACTATAAATGTCATTGATGTAAAGCTAGAAAAAGATCCATTAGGTAAGATTGCAAAATCACTCTATTGATATATTTCCCCATTCTCATTCTGATAAGGGAACCATGGTGAAAAGGGCAAATATTTCCGCTGAGTTCTTTTTTTCCAAGTCTTCATTATAAAGTTAAATATTAAAATGCTATTACATTTTAAAATTTATATTGCAGAAATTTACAAGGAACTTATTTAATTCTACACCTACAAATGAAATATGTTCATACGGCAACCATATAGCTGAAGAAACTGAGACTCAGAGCTCAAAGAACATGTCCCAGGTTGTGGAGCTGGAAGGAAGAGAAGGCCACCACCCGAACAACTCCAGGAGGCACCATTTATGTTGTAGCCTTTGTAATTGGCCCCCTGCCCCATAGTGGGACAGAATTTGAATTCAGTTCTGATGAACCTCAAGCTTTTACTCTCATGAAAGGCCTGTTGTGTGAATTAGGAACAGGTGCCCCTTCCTCCAGCAGATGGAGCTTTACACCAGGGCACATGACTTTGCCACTGCAAAGTGGAGTTCAGCTCACATTCACTTCCAAGCTGGGACGCCCTCTGCAGGGCACAAGCTGCACAGCAGGACAGGGTGATTGCTTGCTCGTGCCTTCCAGATGCTAGGTAGTTTTGTAGGTCTTCTATTTCCACTTGGGACTTAAAAAAAATAATAAAGTATACAGTTGGTTCCCCCTATGGTTTTAGCTCTCCTACAATTAGTCCAGTGCCCAGCTTCAGAAGACCAGGTGTCCTTTCCTAGAATTGTTGTATGCTGGAAGCAAGTAGCTTAACCTCAGAGCTCAGTTTCCTTACCATGAATAGAGGAGATAATGCCTGACATGCTCTGCATTCTGCTCGGAGGGGGAAAGAGTTTAAGTCTATGAAGGGGCTTGCAAGATGACCTTCTTGCAAACGATTCCCATTCCCCAGGGCTGGGTACAGTGTGGCCACACAGGGGTCGAGAGCACCCTTCAGAGCATGGCAGGCATGCCCGTCTTCCACATCTCCACATCCTGGTGCTCTGAGCCGTCTGCATGGTGACTGGGACTAGCTCCCATGGAAGGCTGCAGTGGCATCTCCCGTGCCCAGTTCCAGGCTGAGCTTCCCAGTCTTTTCCCCACTGACTTCCTAACTGCTGCTTGCCTATCAGAGTTGGTTCATCAGATAAAAATCTGTTTGCCATTCAGGATTTAGGGTTTTCAGAGGAGAATTACAGTTTGGGGCTTTAAAAATGCAGTTGTTGGGTATGTGATTTTTGTTAAAAATCACACTTCTCATAAGCATTTATATAAATGTAGTTTACATAGTGGATGGATATAGTAAACACTGATTTCAGCTTGACAATTCCACAACTTACCCAAACGTGAATTTTCCTTTCTGTTCCTGATTTCACTCTTTGTTTTGTTCTACACACTGTCATTTCATTTGGATGAGGAGGGTAAAACCAATCTTAGAAATGGTAATGTTAGCTGGAAGTTGCTTCATATTGACTTTCTCACAAATAGATATCTCCATAAATAGTGAGGAAAGTAATAGCTGGTGGAGCTCTGCAGCAGGAGCTGGGCTGCCTGGAGAGGGCATGTGGCCTCCAAGGGTCCATGGCCTGAGTCTCCATGGCTGAACCATGATGGAAGTTGCTAGAAAACACTTCTGAGGAAGAACATGGAAAATAAGGCTTGCAAAGCATTCAGTTATTTGGGAAGTCACTATCCATTGCTACACATATGTTTTGTGACATAACAATAAAGAACTATTTACATAAAAGCTAAATCATTGCCTACAGAATGTATTTGATTTTCAGGAAAGTATTTTGGCATTATTTTGAAGTAACGATAACAACTGTCACATTTGTAATAATTTATGGCTTACAAAATACTTTTAAATTTATGATTGTATTTGTTTCTGGTAGCCCTAGGAGGTAGGCTAGGGAGAGGTCCTTCCATGTCTGAGGTGGAGAAACTGGGACCCAAACCCTGAACTTGTAATATCAGAGCTGAGGTGCTTTCCATTATTCTATGGGGCAGTATGAAGAAGGATATGCTATAATTTTAAATCTTCTAAATTATTACCAAATTCCCACAAAGTACTTTATCATATATTTTTATGAATTCATTTTTTTAGTTCAGATGGTGGATGGCAGATAGTTTGAAATACAAAGAATGACAAATTGGAAATGGCATTTTCGGGAGAAACTTCAGAAAATTTAACAGTAGAGCCAAACTACTAATGTACATCATTTTAGAAATGGTGCATTTACTCTGAGTTTTATGTCTGGTTTTCCTTTCCGTGAATTAGCTTGGATGGGGTCATTCTAGTACAGTGATAGCCTGTTTTGTTCTCCTCTGTGTTCCTTAGGTGAATTTATCAGTTGGGTGGCACTGGATCACGAGCTTCAGGTGCACCATCAGGTGACAATCCTAGTGACTGATCATGGCTCCCCGCCACGGAACGCCACCATGGTGGTTTATGTGTCAGTGACTGACATCAATGATAACAGGCCATATTTCCCACAGTGTCTCCCTGGAGAGGAATTGCACATCAAGGTTTGTGGAGTGAAATTGCCTTGCAATGATTTTGTAATAGTCTTAGTCGTTTGTTTTGAGCACCATCTTGTGGTAGAAAGTGTGAATTTATCAAATCAGTCTCAATGTGGCAATGTATGTTTCCAGATCTAAAAATTGTGAACATGTCAAAAAAACAAACAAAAAAAAGACTCCACAAATTAAAATATAAAATAAAATGGTTATATGTTCAATTTGGGATCACATATCTAGTTTTATGACAATGTAGTTTTGCCTGTTGTATACAAATGTAATGGTGCCCCACTCTCAGTAATGCTCAGATGTGGATTGTTTTCCCAGTAATTTGCATGCATCTCTCGGTTCAGATCTCCTTATGCGCAACTGGTGCACATCTCCAAGCTGGTTAGTTAAATATAGGGGAACAATCTGTAGCTCTAAAGTAGAAAGACGTGCAGCCAGAGACCATAAAATTTGATCTTTGGTAGCACCTGCAGAAATTTCTAATTATATTTATATGATTTCATCTTTTTCATTTCCATGTTTTGTATGTTTTATAATATACATAATAAATTAGAATATTTGTTAATGGACATAATAAATGTATCTTGGAGATATACTTTTTTAATGAATGGGTTCCATGAACAAAAAGTTTGGAAGCTGTTGCTCCAAACCAACTGAATTGGACATTCAAATTGTGTTCAGATATGCATATTGAACAATTAAAAAAGGATACTGAGACAGTTCATAACTTTAAACTCATCTTCCAAAGCTGTATTTAAAGAAAGTCCTACCAAAACAAAGCATTATTATAGTATCATTTTTATTTTAATTATATCATTAAAACATCCCAGGGCAGGGTAGCAGGACTCCACACTTGGAGTTCAACTCCCCATGTACATTTCAATATTCCATGAAAGTTCCTGTTAACTACTGAGGTATGTTACCTCTAGCAGGTGTGTTTCCTGAAATAAAGGTTTATATTTATCTTTAGGATATTTTGGACCTTTTAAATAATGAGAAGATGCTAGAATTCTTAAAACGTATCCAAAATCTATGATTATTTAGTCAATTTGATTTTTTTTCAAAATTAGTTCAAATGCTGCAGATGATTTGTTCAAATTGAACTAGTTTGTTCAAATATGTAGTATTGTTTCTTTTCATGGATTTGCATTTATATAACTTTTATATGGTAGACATTTGAGTTATAGGTGGATTTTAACATAGTTTAAAAAATGCTTAGTAGCAATGTGTTCTTTCACTTAAAGGTTCATATTTCTCTCTAAACTTTCAATGACTAATTTTTAAGCCATTTGTTTTAATGACAGGTTCTGGAAGGTCAACCAGTAAATATGTTGGTTACAACTGTGTTTGCAAAAGATTTTGACGAAGGAAACAATGCAGAAGTTGTATATTCAGTATCTTCAGGTAAAAGTCACCCTTATAAAGGATTAGGAGCTTTTAGGATTTCCTCTTTTGTCTACCAACTATCTACCTTCTTCTGGGAAAATGGGTAATGTTGAAAATAACACCAGGTACAAACAAAATACATTTGTGATTATCTAGAGTCACCTTCATTTAAAAAATTAACTTAAAACTTTAAGGTAAAATCATAGTAGTTTTTCTGTGTCCTAAATAGAAACCAACCAACCATCCACCTTAAATGGATAATTTTCAATAATCTGAAATGCAAATCAACTTTTACTGAAAGTAAAGTAGTAGTGAATCAAAATTGGTATTAAGTATAAAGAAATATGATTATGAATGCAAACATCTATGAATCTCTATGAAGACTAAATATTCTTAAGGTCAAAGTAAATCATACTTGGAAAATGTCACAGTACATATATTATGTGTGTATGTTGGAACTTCATTAGGAAAGGCTCATGTTTATAGTTTTCTTTTAGAATGCACAGGCCTCAGATTTGTTTTCGTGATTAGCTTTAGTTGGCACTGCGTTTTACAATATTTTTAAATATATTTGTTGCTTGTCATGTTTGTCACAAAATGTGACATAATGTTATTTCTTGCTAATAATGTTATCTCTTTCTCGAAAGAAAGAAAGAGATAAAGATCTTTTTAAAAATTACTAGCATTTTATTTATTTTTTTAAAGATTTATTTATTTATTTTAGAGAGAGAGAGCAGGGGGTGGGAGAGACAGAAAGAAAGGAGAGGGAGAGAGAGAATCTCAAGCAGACACCGTGCTGAGTGCCAAACCAACAGAGGGCTGGATCTCAGGACTCAGAGATCATGACCTGAGTAGAAACCAAGAGTCTGTCACTCAACTGACTGAGCCACCCAGGCGCCCCCCAAAGAATCACCAGCATTTTAAAAACTAAGCAGATTTTCAAAGATCTTGCTCATCGTAACAGGGAAATCCATAGGGTATTGGGGCAGATATACTGTGAAGTAATGAAGTTTAAGTTTCAGGTTCCTTCACTTGAAGGGCTCCTCTGGGATGGGAGTAAGGGGCAGTGGACAATTGATATTTGTAATATTGTCCTATTTTTCTTAAAGACAGCCCCCCCACATTTTATATTTGAAAACCCCCCAAATCAGGAGCATAGGGAGGAAAATTCCAATAAAAGACATTCAAAACCTTTATGTAGGAAATTACAAATTATTAACGAACGACCTTAAAGAAGAATGAAATGAAAAGGCATATCATGTTCATGCTTGGGAAAGTTCAAGATCAACATATTCAGTGAGCCTGCTGCACACATACATACACACACAAACACACAGAAATTAATATATTAAGCTATAATCCTGCTATAATACCATTATCTAGAAAGAACTGAAACCAGGCTATCTACTACTCACGAATATATGGACGAGAAAGATAAACCACCACTTGAGAAAAGAAGCTAGTTCCTGGGAAGAAGGAGGGAAATGAGATTTGGAGGTATACCCAAATCCTCTGCTGTAGCAATACTATGTTATTTGTTTAAGACTTTTGAAGAAATTGTGGGAATTGACTAGTTTGGAAATGTTTACATGGGGGTTCATCATATATTTCCAAATATTTGAAATACTGATTTTTTAAAAATTAGCTTCTAAAATAATACTTGGGTGTAACAATATAAAAAATATAATGGTATATATTCTGGTATTCATACCTTTGCTTCTACTTCATCCAATTGCTAAATAGAGACAACTACAAAATACAAGGAGAAATAGCAAGATAAAAATAAATATAATGTAGGGTGCCTGGTTGGCTCAGTCACTTAAACTTCAGACTCTTAATTTTGGCTCAGGTCGTGATCTTAGGGTTGTGAGATGGAGCCCCACTTCAGGCTCCATGCTGAGCATGGAGTCTGTTTGGGATTCTCTCTCCCCTCTCTCTGTCCCTCCCCCCAACCACTCATGTTCTTTCTCTTAAAAAAAAAAAAAAAGGATAAAAAAGAAATATAAATAAATAGGTGTAATGCAAATGAACACATGTAAAACATTTATGAAAATTTCATACAGTATTCATGTAAAAATGAATAAATTGATCAAGGCATAGAAATCACAACTAGTAGATGTTACATAATTTCCTGCTCTACCCTCTAACTTTCTTAAGGGCAGGAGTTCTTTTTTATTTGTCTTTGTATCTCCTATGACTGGTAAAATACCTGTTCTGTGATAATGACTCATCAAAATGGAACAAAAGAATGAAAGAGAGCCCCTAGCTCAGGCTTTGTCAAGAGTTTTTTGGATTGTTTGAAATGTTTAGATTCTACTAAACAATATAAATCTGTTATTTAACCAAAAAAACCTATATAATCAATTTAATTAGAAGTACCAGTATGAACTTGTGACAGATTTTAGTTTGTGCATGTGTGTACTCTCTGTCCACTGAAAAAGGCCTAGAAACAATGACTGGCCTGGAAGCAATAAGCACCCCCTCACGTTCAGAATATAGCCTCCCGATACCATGTTCCTCCAAAAGGAACCAGGAATCCTTGACGAAACGGCTGACTCCAGGTCTTGGACAGGAAATCTTTACAAGATGAGTCTGTGCCATTTTGTCATACCAGATACAAGGAGGTTACTAAAGACTACTAGGATCATATTAGAAAAGTTCAGGAATCAACTTCAAAAGAATCCCAATGTTCAAAGATGGGAAAATTTGAGCATAGATAAGAATAATAATGGCAATAGATTGAAACCCTGCTAATGTGTTTAAAGTCATGCTTAATGGTTCTTAAAACAGAGGCTAAGCAAAACTGTAATTATCATAGTTGGAACCCAGGAGGAGGATGTTAGTGAATCAATCCATTATTTTGAACATTGTTAAATAAAAGCTTAGCATCAAGTATTTATCCTGACTTTCCTATAATGAACTATTCCCTTGGGTTATCAGTAAGTAGAGATGCATGTTGAAATATATCCAGAAGAGGGCGCCTGGGTGGCTCAGTTGGTTAAGCGACTGCCTTCGGCTCAGGTCATGATCCTGGAGTCCCGGACTCGAGTCCCGCATCAGGCTCCTTGCTCGGCAGGGAGTCTGCTTCTCCCTCTGACCCTCCTCCCTCTCATGCTCTCTGTCTCTCATTCTCTCTGTCTCAAATAAATAAATAAAATCTTTAAAAAAAAAAAAAAAAGAAATATATCCAGAAGAAATGATAGGATTTCTGGGGTTTGCTTCCAAAGAGGATGGTAAAGGGGAATATATGACTAGGGAAGAAAGATTGGTCATGAGTTGATAATTATTGAAGCTAGACGACAGGCAGAGTCATCTCAGTGCTGTCTCCATATAAGGTCAAAGTCATCTTTGTGCAGAGCTCAGTATATCATTCTGTCTACTTTTACATATGTTTGAAAATTTCCATAATAAAACATTTAAAAATTGGTTATGTTTCCTGTCTATATTTTAGTATTATTTTATGTTCATACACTCGCAAAGCTTAAAATAAACAAATCTTCCAAATTATCACAGATGTATGTAGATTCATTAATTCTCTGTTTTCTGCATTGTCAGTTAACATCGATTTCTTAATTTCTGTGTGTGTGTATAGAAGACAGTTCTGATCACTTCAAGATTGATGCCAACAGTGGTGAAATAAGAACAACCACAGTCCTTTCATATAACCATAGACCTTCCTACAGGATGACCGTAATTGCCAGTGACCAGGGAGTGCCCACTCTTCAAGGCCAAGCAGTCATTAATATCCAGGTAATATTTTGAAAAAATGCTCAACATCACTTGGCATCAAGGAAATACAAATCAAAACCACAGTGAGATACCACCTCACACCTGTCAGAATAGCTAAAATTAACAAGACAGGAAACAACAAATGTTGGCGAGGATGAGGAGAAAGGGGAACCCTCTTACATTGTTGGTGAGAATGCAAACTGGTGCAGCCACTCTGGAAAACAGTATGGAGGTTCCTCAAAAAGTTGAAAATAGAGCTACCCTGTGACCCAGCAATTGCACTACTAGGTATTTACCCCAAAGATACAAATGTAGTGATCCAAAAGGGCACGTGTACCCCAATGTTTATAGCAGCAATGTCCACAATAGCCAAACTATGGAAAGAGCCTAGATATCCATCAACAGATGAATGGATAAAGAAGATGTAACACACACACACACACACACACACACAGGAATATTACTCAGCCATCAAAAAGGATGAAATCTTACCATTTACATCAAAGTGGATGGACCTGGAAGGTATTATGATGAGCAAAATAAGTCAGTCAGAGAAAGACAATTGTCATATGGTTTCATTCCTATGTGGAATTTAAGAAACAGTGCAGAGGATCATAGGGGAAGGGAGGGAAAACTGAATGGGAAAAAATCATAGAGGTAGACAAACCATGAGAGACTCTTAACTATAGGAAACAAACTGAGGGTTGTTGGAGGGGAGTGAGTGGGGGGATGGGATAACTGGGTGATGGGCATTAAGGAGGGCACGTGATGTAATGAGCACTGGGTGTTTTATGCAACTAATAACTGAATCCTACATCTGAAACTAGTGATGTACTATATGTTGGCTGATTGAGTTAAAAAATATACAGGTAATGTTCCATCGTCAACATAAAGTGTGAAAAGATGTTCAGAAGGTTTTTGTTAGATTTTTATGGAAATGTGTACAGCGAAGATACCTTAAATTCATGAATGCTATTTTTAGAGAGCATTGCAGATTTATGTGTGTCTTTTTATTATCACTTGAGAAATGATTAGACCCAAGTAACTTTTAATTTTAACTTTGTACAGTTCCTGATAAGATATTTACCTTTATCACTACATAGGCATTTATGTTGCTTTGCTTACAAAGAACAAAAAAGTGTCTTGTCTTTTACTTGTTCCTAATTGCAAGGACCTGGTAAATTTGCGGGACAAACTTGTATGTAAACAAGGGTCAATAATATATCACATAGTTCTTTGTAATTATTTTTAAATTTAGAAAAGTCACTTGAGAACCACATTTTAAAGCTTTGCTTTAATCATAATGAGCAAACAACTTGTGGGAAGTCTTCATTGTGGGAAAAATTCACACTCACCAGTCAAAAATGAGATGATTGTGCATAGCTAGATTTCTTTGTTCATACACATGACAATCACTAATATTAATACAGATATGTATAATAATCAAGAATAGATATCCCTAAGAATTCTGTTTCCAAATTATATTCTTTATTGATTGAGGATATGTGGGTTAGGAGAAAATTCTGTATCGTATTATTTCCAAGTCTCTGGTTTCAGATAAACAAAGACACATGATACATAAATGTGAACAGATGTTGTCATTATGGATATATTGGTCTCTAGGATTTAGAGTAATTTGGAGAACTATCTATCCCACATTCTCATTGAAGAATCACAAAGCTACAATTCAGTTTAACTATAGCATGGTCTCACCAAATCTCATTTCACGCATTAGAACAAACAGGGAAATGGAAAATTCTGTACTTTCTTATCTCCTAGATGTTATACAATTTTCAATCTTCAGAGACATACTGGAATTATATAATAGAAAAAGACATTTTCTCACTAATTAACATATGTGTATCATACAAATGGAAGGAATTAGCTTCCAAAGTAATATCATCACATCTAGTGATTCAACTGTTAAGAAGGACCCCGAATTAAAAGCTCTTTTTCATTCTTGTTTCAGGTGATACCATTATCTAAAGGGAGAGCTATCATTTCTCAGAATATTAGACACTTAGTTTTACCCGAAAACTTGAAGCCTGCAAAAATAATGAGCTTGATAAAGTCACCCGATCACCTTCAACAACATCATAATGGAAAGTTACATTTTAGTATTGCTGCAGATGACAAGGATGGTCACTTCGAAATCGACAGCTCAACAGGGGACTTGTTCCTTTCTAAGGAACTTGATTATGAAATGACGTCTCATTACCTTTTCAGGGTGGTTACTAAAGACCATAGCAAAACCCCTCCCCTGAATAGCACAGTCTTCCTGAGTATTGATGTGGAGGATCAGAATGACCATTCCCCATCTTTCCAAGAAGAGCTCATTGTGATAAGTGTAGAAGAGAATGTCCCTATAGGGACTCTGGTGCACGTCTTCAATGCCAAAGACGGGGATGGCAGTTTTTTGAACAGTAGAATTCAATACTTCATTGCATCCCACCACCCTGGAATGAGTCCGTTTCTCATCCACCCCTCATTTGGCACATTAGTCACTGCATCGCCCCTTGACAGAGAGAGGGTTCCAGCTGTCATCCTGACAATAACTGCATTGGATCAGGCTGTGAATGTGACAGACCGGCGATTGCAATCACTGACAGCAAAGGTCGTGATTCTGGATGTAAATGACCACAGCCCCACTTTTATGTCTTTCCCCATTGCCCACATCAAAGAGGATGCCTCGGTGGGCTCCTTGGTGCACCACATAAGTGCTCAAGATCCAGATGAAGGAAGGAATGGAAGAGTGACATACAGCATCCTCTCAGGAAATGACAACACGGCCTTTATGCTAGACGAGTCATCAGGTACTGTCTGTCATTATCAGTTAAAGTCTCTGATCACGTGCTCACATTTGTCTTCTTCATTTTCCTCTGTTAAAATGACAATTCTCAAGATGTATAAGCTTTAAAGAAATGTGACTTGATTTACTGCTTAACTTAGGTAAATGAAAGGCCCAGAGATTGTACTCAGACAGCCACCTGTAGTTGGCCTGTTTGTTAATATTGACGATGCTTTGTTGCTAGCTCACATTTCACAAGATGAATATATAGTAGCCAACTTCTTTACTGCTTTGCACTGTGGATATTCACAGGGTCGGAGATGGTACTAAAGTGCATCAAGGCAGAGCATGACTAATCATCAGCATTATTCAAAGACTTTAGAAGGGAAACTTATCTTTAAGATCGTACAAATATTCATTTGTAAATAGTTGGAAGTACTGCATTTAAAAGGTTGGATTGATTTGGGCATTAAGACCTTTGATTCTCATATCAGCTGTAACATTTTATTTTTTGCAGAAGCATTTATTCACTGTCCACTCTGTAGAAATGTCACTCACTGTCACTTCACTTGTCTTGCTGTCACCATGTTACAAGATAACATCTACTAAAACTTTTGATTCAGTTTGATGGAAGGTTACATGCATAAAGTGTCATTCTTGTGAAATTGGAAATGAACACCCCTCAACCTGATTTTCAGGAGATATTGAAGAGATGGACTACCATCTCATTCTCTAAAAAATAAAGTCATTTTGCGTCAATCTTAGAAAAAACATCTCAGATGTATACCATTTGGCCCAACTGTTCGTTAAGAACATTGTTTGGAATGGGACTGAATGTGTAGGATTTGGAAGTCATGATTATAGGCCGGCTACATACTGTTGGAAAATTTCATCAAAATATTTATTAAATCCTGTACATATGGTTCCATTCTGAGGCATGCATGACCACCACCTAAAAGCCCAGCTGACAGAGAGATAGTCCAGACCCAGCTGCTGATTTCTGTGAGAGCTGGGGTCTCCAAGGACCTGTTTCAACAATACTTAAAATGTTTTCCAACATGGCTAAGGAAGGTCTATTTCAGATCGTCAAAGAGGATGGATAAAATTAGAATCGTGCCTCAGTAATATAGGTATCGTGACTCTTAAACAATGGTCCTGGCTGTTTCAGTTGAGATATTTTTCAAAGACATAAATGATCATTGCTGAATACATTCAGAGGAGACAGGCTATTTTTCTTCACGAAGCTCACATTTCTTATGAAGAAGACACAGTGAGTTTTGCAATGGCTTTGGCTCTGAAATAGAGAGGGATAAGTAATGATTGAAAAACTACCTTACAAAATCTGAATCAGTAAGCTTCTTTAATTATTTGAAGGTAAGTTCTCATAGGATGAGCATGTGTTAGAGAAGCAAACAGCAATCCTCAAAGAAGGAATGTGATGATTGGAATCATGTGACAGCTATCTGTGTGTAAGACTTTATAACACTTTGTTTAGATGAGTTATATGCTTAAATGGCAGTAGGATGGAGACATGTTCTATTTGTGAAGTTTATTTCCTGAGTTATAGAGTCTTCCTATTTTTTGTTAGGAAAAAAAGATAGTTACTGAGATAGTATAAAGAGACTATAACTCTTTATCTTAAGGAATGTAGCTATACTCACCTTTTGGTAAATGACATGAAGTGTCATTTGACATGGAAGCATTTACTGTTACAACCTAGATTTTTTGTTTGTTTGTTTTTGTTTTGTTTTTTAAGTAGGCTCCATGCCCAGCGTGGGGCTTGAGCTCAGGACCCCGAGATCAAGAGTTGCATGCTCTACCGACTGAGCCAGCCAGGCGCCCCTAACCTAAATTTTTTTTTTTTAATGAAAGTAGAAAAATAATTTTGGTGTAATCATCTCCATAGATAAAGGTATATGATAGATTATTTCTGAATTCAAATTCATCCTTATAGTTTAAACCAGAATGACTCTTTTGACTAAAAAGTTATCTTTTTATTCTTGATAATATATAAACTTCACATTGATGTAATAAGATATATTCTTTAGCAAAGAAAGCTTCTGGATCTTTAGCAAGTTAGGTAAGTTAGACAAAGGTAGAGTAAGCACGACTTCTCTAGAAAATGTTTATTCTTTATTGCTCTTCTCCTCTTTCAAATCAGGCTTACTAACAACCACCCGTCCTTTGGACTATGAAATAAAAGCTCAGCACATTCTGACCCTTCTGGCACTGGATGATGGTATACCAGCACTTTCTTCATCCCAGACTTTGACGATTACTGTTCTTGACGTAAATGATGAGGCACCCGTGTTTCAGCAGGACCTGTATGAAGCTTCAGTTAAAGAAAACCAAAATCCAGGGCAGTTTGTCACAAGGGTTGAAGCTATGGACAAAGATTCGGGTAATTTAAAAATATGGAAACTTGGTAATTCTAAAAACAAAAATTCACATACTTGAAACTAGTTATGGCCCAGAAAATGAAGACAATTGCTAGTTATTTCAAACTTCTAATACCTCTGTAATTAGCATTCACATAAAAACATATACACATGTAAAGGTAATGTGTGCTTTTTTTAAAAAAAGATCTATTTGTTTATTTCAGAGACAGAGAGAGAGTGTGTGCCATCGGGGGAAGGGGCAGAGGTAGAGGGAGAGAATCTCAAGCAGACTCCCCACTGAGCAAGGAGCCCAGTGCCTCAACCAAACAACTGAGCCACCTAGGCACCCCCCCGATAATGTGTGCTTTTATATGGCATTTGTTTCTATTGATTTATATTATTATTTATGGTAGAGTGATATATACCTAATTAACATAATTTTTTATTTGATCTTGATAATAAACTGCAGTATAGACAAAGTTTCACATTTTTTTTCAGAGTGTAATGGTTAGATACACCACATACAAAACGGTAAGTGGATCTGTATTTCCTCTCTATATAGTATAATGGAAGAGAGAGGATGCTGGGTGTGAATCCTAGAACTCTCCTTTACTTCAGTGTGTAACTTTGAACAAGTAGCTAATTCTCTCTCTTCCTCTGTTTGCTTATCTGGAAAATGGGGATAATGATAGGGCCTAAGTTCTAGTTATGTTATGAGAATGAATGAGTTCTCATAAGACTGGCATAATCAGTGGTCAATAAAGGTCAATTTCTGTCATTACTATTATTACTCTTATTAATGTCAGCCACTGTGTCCAGACAAATAACTTTGAAGTGAATAGTTATTATAGCTGGGAATTTGTAAATGTCTTAGAGTTCCTTTTCAATATCACTGTGACTTTTTTGGTATTTAAGGTCCGGTAACTTTAGTAATATTGTTTATATTTTAAACAAAATAACTCTGAAAATTATGCTGAAGTATTTGCCATTGAGAGCATATGCCCATTTCCCCATCTGAGTTAATACAAATAGTTTAATCCAGTTTTTTTTTTACCTCATGTATATATATTCTTTTTATTGTATGAGTTTCAGGTGTACATTATAATCTGACGTCAGTATACCCTACAAAGTGTTTACCCCCCAAATCTAGTTATCATCTGTCACTCTACAATTGATCTTGTTTTCCTCTTTCACACATACCCCTGCTCCCTATTCTCTGTATCTGTGAGTTTATCTTTGTTTTGTTTTTGTTGGTTTGTTTTGTTTTGTTTTCAGATTCCACATATGACTAAGTCAAATGGTATCTGTCTTTCTCCTTCTGACTTACTTCACTTAGTATAGTATCCTCAAGGTCCATCCATGTTGCTGCAAATGGCAAGATTTCATTCTTTTTTTATGGCTGAGTAATATTCCATTTCACATTCTACATCTTTGTCCATTCATCCATTGATAGACATGTAGGTTGTGTACATATCTTGGTTATTGTAAATAATGCTGCGGTGAACATAGGGGTACATATGTCTTTTTAAATTAATATTTTCATCATCTTTGGATAAATACCCAGTAGTGGAATGGCTAGGTCATCTGGTAGTCCTGTTTTTAATTTTTTGAGGAACCTCCATACAGTTTTCACAGTGGCTGCACCAGTTTGCATTCCCACCAACAGTGCATGAGGGCTTTCTTCTCTCCACATCCTCTCCGACACTTGTTATTTTTTGTCTTTTTGATAATAGCCATTCTAATGAATGTGAGGTGACATATCATTGTGGTTCGGGTTTGCATTTCCCTAATAATTAGTGATGTTGAACATCTTTTCATGTGACTGTTGGCATCTGTATGTTTTCTTTGGAAAAATGTTTATTCAGATCCTCTGCCCTTTTTAAAATCAGGTTATTTGTTTTTTGTTATTGAGTTATATGACGTTTTCTTTAAAGATTTATTTATTTATTTTAGAGAGAGAGAGAGAGAGAGCACAAGCGGGGGCAGGGTAGAGGAAGAGAGAGAGAGAGAGAATCACAAGCAGACTCCCCACTGAGTGGGGAGCCCGACACGGGGCTCGATCTCATGACCCTGAGATCTTGACCTGAGCCAAAACCAAGAGTCAGACACTTAACAGACTGTGCCACCAAGTCATCCCAGTATGAGTCTTTATATATCTTTGACATTAACCTCTATCAAATGCATAATTTACAAATATCTTCTCCAATTCAGGCGGGTTTTTTTAAATGATGGTTTCCTTTGATATGCAGAAGCTTTTTAGTTTGATATATTCCCATTTGTTTATTTTTGCTTTTGTTTCCCTTGACTTTGGAGTCTGATTCACAAAAACATCCCTAGGACCAATGTCACAAAGCTTACTGCCTGTGTTTTCTTCTAGGAATGTTATGGTTTCAGGTTTTACATTCAAGTGTTTAATTCATTTTGAGTTAATTTTTGTGTATGGTGTAAGATAGTGGTTCAGTTGCATTCTTTTGCATGCAACTGACCAGTTTTCTCAACACCATTTAGTGAAGAAACTGTTCTTTCTCCACTGTATGTTCTTAGCTTCTTTTTCATAAATTAGTTGTCCATATATGTGTGGGTTTATTTCTGGGCTCTCCATTCTGTTCCATTGATCTGTGTGTGTGTTTTTATCCTGGTACCATACTGTTTTGGTAACTATAGCTTTGTAGTGTAGTTTGAAATCAGGGGCCATGATACCTCCAGCTTTGTTCTTTCTCAAGATTGCTTTAGCTATTTGGGATCTTTTGTGATTCCATACAAATTTTAGAGTTATTTGTTCTAGTTCTATGAAATATTCCATTGGAGTTTTGGTAGGGATAGCATTGAATCTGTGGATTGCTTTGGATAGTATAGACATATTAACAATATTAATTCTTCCAATCCATGAATAAGCCAATCTTTTAAAATTCACATTCATATATAGAGGTAGCATTACATAATCAGTATAATTTTTCTTTACAAGAATTGTAATAGATGTGCCCATGGAAATAATAGTATTAACAGTAGGATTTTCTTCCTAAATTGTTCATCTAAGGGGTAATAGATAGATTTCCTTGAGCTTTTATACTACACTATATGCCATTTTAGATGCTTTGCCCTTTTGGAAAACATCATCTTCTAATGAAATGCATTTTACATAAATTTGTATATGATGCTACAAAAATTTTCTTTTCAAAGACTAACCTAATTTTCTCTCTTTTGACCAGAATGGGGCAGTATGATCACAAAATTTTTCTTACCATGCTCAAAGACACATGACTGGAGTGTGGTAACAATTGCTCCTCCCAACTTGTACTTACAGAATTTATTTAGCACATCTCAGGCAGGATACTTTTAAGGGTGATAGAAACAATGGAGAATATACATCAGCTTTGTGTTTCACAATAGTACAATAAAGTTCTCTTAGAGCACTCTCTGGTGTAAACTGAGCAACATAAGGCTCTGGGCAACACAGAAACTACTTCTCAAAGTTCACAAACATATGCTGAACCTACCACTGATGTGGATCAGTGCAATAGTTACTCATTAACAATTATTAAAATTTGTAAAATGCTTCCTCCCCTTGACCTTACTTTATCTTATTAATTTTATTTTTGGTAATAGACACTCCTAAGGAATCTCTCATTTTAATGTCTGAAGAAAGAGAAAAGCATTTCTCTCAAATATTTGCATGTATCAACTAAAGAGGATTACCGTAAATATGCATCCCGATTTTTACTGGCAAGGTGCCCCTAGCGTCAGTGTTATTTTCTTTTAGAATGACCAGTCTGCAACCTGTTAGTTAAATTGAATTGAAGAGTTCAATATTCTAGAGATTATGGTTTGCCTGATGGAGAGTTTAGATGCAAAATTATTGTTTTGCTGGCTTTGCATTTATGGATGTTTGAAATACACATCAGCATCTTCAAGAGTCTCCTGCACTCATGCACGTTGTGGAGACAATTTGGGTTTACTGTTAATCTCAGTGTTTTTAATGAGGCCAGATCAATTAAGCAAGTGCTTTTGAATACATTTTCCCTCAATCTTTTGTTGTTGTTGTTTTGTTTTTTATATTTGCTTGTTGGGTTAAAACAATGAAAAGAATTATGCATAAGAATTAAATGTCACGTCAAGATTTTTAACATAACTGGCATCACACTGGAATTTGCGAATGGTTTACTTTATAGTTATGTATTTTTAAAAAATACTATAGCATTACTTAATATTAGAAAGCTGAACATATATTTTCTAGCATTCTACAGTACAGTTTTTAAAATCGTAAGCCTACGGTGTTGTTTGGCATTCAAAACCCATGGGACTGCGAACACTGCTGGTTTATGATGTATGACTCACGCTAGTTCCAACAGGAGTTTTTTCATGTATTAAAAGGGAAAAACAACTACCAGGTTTTAACTAAGATATTAAAACTGCTACAGCTTTTGGTACCACCACCAAGAGTTCTATTGTCAGTGAGAAAAGATTTATCCCCAGGGTGTACCTCTGCCAGTCCCCAGAGAAAGGGCACCCCGCCAGGGAAGATGACTCACTCCCTGCTGATGTATTTGCTCAATAGTGGTGAATACAAAATAATTTAACAGCACGTTGCCCTGCAAAAAATGTCAAATTCTATAATGAGATCTTATTGTCTATTCCATAAAAAAATGTACAGTTGACCAATCTGAGGTTCGGGGGTGCCGACTGCCCCTCCCACAGTCAAAAATCCATGTTTAACTTTTGACTCCCCAAAAACTGAACCACTGATAGCCTACAGTTGGCCAGAAGACTTAGGGATAACATAGTCAATGAACCCATATTTTGTATGTTATATGTATTACATATTGTATTCTCTCTCTTTTTTTTTTTAGATACAGAGAGAGAGAGAGAGAATGAGTGGGGTAGGGGGAGAAGAAGAGAATCTCAAGCAGACTCTCCACTGAGCACTGGGTGCAGAAGGTGGGGGGCAGGAGGTCTTGATCTCACCACCCCCGAGATCATGACCTGAGCCAAAATCAAGAGTCAGACGCTTAACTGACTGTGCCAC